CCTGCTGAGTGCTGAGATTACAAGTTTGTTCCAAAACACCCAACTCTGTCTGTCTATCTGAGAGAGACAGGATCTTGCCCACAGACCTCCAATTCCAGTTCTCCTGCTTCATGTTCCAGAGTGTTTAAGTTACAGGCATACACCACTGTGCCTTGTAATCTTAATTTGTGTGTGTATACTTGTTTATGTGTGTGTACTTGTGTGTGTATGTACTTCTTATGTGTGTTTGTGCACTTGTGTGTGCTTGTTTATATGTGTGTACTTCTCTGTGTGTGTGCTTGTTTATGTGTACACACAGGTACACTGCACTCATGTGATGCTAAGAGTAGCGGTTACAGGTTGAGCATCTCCATTTTATTTTGTTTTGAGACAGTGTCTCTTACTGAACCTCAAGTTCAGTGATTTGGCTAGACTGGCTGACCAGCAAGTGCCCAGGAATCCTCCTGCCTCCAATTCCCCAGCCTTGGAATTACAGCCACACACAACTACACACAGCGGTTTTTTGTATGAGTGCTAGGGATCAAACTTAATGCCCTCACTTTGTATAGCAAGCACTTTACTGACCCAAGCCATCTCCCTATCTCTTGCAGTCTCCCAATTTTTCAAAATATTTGTCTGTCTGTCTGTCTGTCTGTCTGTCTGTCTGTCTATCTATCTATCTATCTATCTATCTATCTATCTATCTATCTATCTATCTAATATATTTGAGTGATTTTTCTGCATCTATGTCTGTGCACCATGCCTGTGCCTGGTGCCCAAGGAGGTAAGAAGAGGGCATCTGAGCCCCTGGAACTGGGGTTAGTAATTGTGAGCCACTATGTGGGTGCTGGGAACTGAGCCTAGATTCTCTGCAAGAGCAGCAATTGTTCTAACCACCAAGCCACCTCTCCAGTCCCAACCCCATAGTCTCAGTTTGTTTTTCAAAGCAGGATTCCTATGTATGGCTATCCTGGAACTCGCTTTGTAGACCAGGCTGGCCTCAGACTCAGAGATCCACCTGCTTCTGCCTCCTGAGCGCTGGGATTCAAGGTGTGCACCACCATACCTGGCTGTAGTCTCAGTTTTTAAAGTAAACTTCTGTTCGGATGTTTTTTTTCTATTAATTTCCATGAAATGTCTGCTGTAGGTTTTTTTTTGTTTGTTTTTCTTTTTTGATTTTGTATTGTGTGTGTATTGAGGGAGGGGGCTTGGATTATTTCTTTGTTTTATGTACTACATAGCCCAAACTGGCCTTGACAATCCTCCTGCCTCAGTCTCCTGAGTGTTGGAAAATGAGTCATGTGCTTCTAATCCAGCTTACAGGATCCTTTTGTCCTCAATTACCTAACAGCTCTAACTGAGGTGGTTTATGAGTTTCTAACGTGTAGCTCAGAGTGGCCGGCCTTCTTGCATCTTTCCGTTCTGCATCCTCACGCCTGTCATATGCAGGACAGCTCCCCACTTGACACAAATGCAGTTACATCCAGAAGAAAACGCTTCCTTGATGTCCTATCGTGGCTCTTCTCCATAATTGGACACGTGTTCATGCCCAGTTCTCACAAGATTACCTTAATTGGCTTAGGGTAGCAACAGCTATTCTAAGCACGTAGTTGTGTTGGGGAGGAGCAGCATTCTGGATAAAACTGGCTCTTTGTCAGGAGGACAAGGGGATATAGAGTTGACAAGCAACACTTTGGGGTTAGATACATCTGTGGTTGTCCCTCAGTGTCAGGGGATGGTTTCCAGGATGCCCCACACACATCAAAATCAGTGGATACTCAAGCCTCTTATATAACATGGCATATTATGTACACACGCCTTACACCCTTCATACTTTGATTTCTAGATTACTTATAATACTAAATACTGTGTTAGTAGTCACTAGAGTGTATTTGGTGATTAGTGACAAGGGAAATGTGTATATTCAGGACAAGCACAAATCATTTTTGTTTCTTGTTCGGGACTACTGGGGAAACCTGGGGTTTCACACAACTGGGGTAAGGGTTCTACCACTGAGCTACAGCCCAAGACCGCTGTTTTGTTTTTTGAAAACTAGGTATTGCTTTCTAGTCCAGACTAGCCCAGAATTCCCTATATAGCCCAGGCTAGTGTTTCCCAAGTCCTGGGTTCACAGTCATGAGCTTCCATACCCAGCTTCACTGAATTAGACTTTAGGTATTGGTGTACTCACAGGTTGGTGTGGAGGGTTAGGGTATGCATGTGTATAGATCAGAGGATAGCTTTGCGAAGTTGGTTCTCTCCACCTTTTGGTGGGATCAAACTCAGGTCTCTGGACACCTTTACTTGTTGGGCCATCTTACCCTGTTTAGAGATTTATCTATACGGGGATTGTTGAACCTAAGAAAATGGGCAAAATAATGGTTAAATAGACAATAGACATGCAAACCTGACTCAGTCCTCAGATGTGCCAGTGTTAGCTGGAAGAGTAAGTCCTAGATTCTCGTCCATACGCCTGTTTTCCTCTGTAATGTGGAGATGACAGTAGAACTCTGGCGAGTGTGAAGTGAGACACTAGGCTGCCAGGCACATGATCTGCAGTGTGCGTAGTGGTAGCAGGAACACATGGCAAAGACTTGTTCACATGGTGAGTACAGGCCGGGGTCAAGTCGGTAGCAGAATACTTGCCTGGCTGTGCATGGCCCTGGGTTTGATCCCTAGCATGGCAGAAAAGGGAGGGAGAGAGGGAGGAAGGTACTGGGCAGGGTGGTACCTAAAATCCCAGTACTTGGTATGTAATTCAGGAAGATGGTGATGAGGTGAGGTCATGTTCCCCCACCACACCACCCCCAAAAAATAGAAGCAAGGAAAGGAGGGAAACTGAATAAGAAGGAAGAACTAATAAAGAATGCCCAGGACTCCACCTTCATTAGTTGCTGCAGATGCTAATAGAGCCAGGAATAGTAAAACGAGCTTTGTGGTTGGCAGTGGCTCCCTCAAACCGTCACTAAGTTCATGGCAAGTAAATATAATCTGATGGCTAGAGTTAGGCTAAGATACTGAGCTAACAGATGGGTGGGCAGCTTTGAAGACGAGTATGGCTCCATGCACCCCAAATAATGAGAAGAGGGGTAGAATGGTCCTTCAAAGAGAGGTACAAGCACAAGCCGTTGCCAGAGGACACTCCCTAGTGAATGAACACCAAAAGCCGTTAGCAGTTTGTTATCCTAAGACACAAACAAGGTGAAGGTCGAGAGCTAAGATCAGTGGTGCTCGCTTGCTGGCCTTACCATTCTTCGGGACTGCTCCAAGCCCTTCCTGACCAAAACTAGAGATGACGCCACCCCTGCACTGTGCTCACCACAGACACTGACATTCTCAGCCCCAGGCCCCTCCACCCTGCTGTCATAAGACTGGCACATCCTGTTTTCCTAAACTTGCCCTACAGGGTGGGCAGACTGGACCAGCTGGATAGGAGTGTTTGGAAAAGTATAGGCGGAGCTCCCAGGCTGTGCCTTGTCGTGCTCGAGGCTGAGATTTTTTTCCCCCTCCCTTGGTTTTTCAGCTGGGCCACTCCCTGAGGAGGCAGGGGTGTGACACATCCCACCCATGATTCATTCGCCTATGATATCGCTGGTAATCCTCTGCTGAGGAGCGCCATTGTGTTAGGAACTAGGAAGACACTGAGGAATGATTTAGCCCTGGCACTTGGAGACGTCCCCACTAAGTGTCCCCTGGCATGGGAACTATAAAAGCAGCTATCTTTAGCCCTAACATAAACAAAAGCAAGGCAGGCTCTGGGCTAAAGTTTTCTCTGTGGTTCATTTAGTCTTTATGATAACCCTAATGAGGTTGTCTCATTTTATAATGG